CCTGCTCGCTCGGAAACCCATCTGGTTTCGAGACTCTGTTCGATTCCAATTTGAATCGAAATCAGCATGCTGTACTCCAGCGTGAGCCTGGTCTAATTTTTTAAACTATTTTTTAATAGAAATTTTAAGTGCACATATGACCTCCATATCACCTAATGGAAAGTGACGATGAGGTCGACGATGGAGCATGCACACCTAAATAATGCATATTCACTTTTGCCTTTAAAAGGTCTTGAAAAGAAACTTTGATTAGCCAGGATAAAAAGTAGTAATTTAATGGATTCCAGTCGAGATCGATGAATGATGTCAATGTAATTATTCCAGAGTGGACAGCTAAATACCTTTACGACGTTAAAACGGCGAACCAACTAAATCTAGTTTTCAGCGACCAGAACCGACTAAATAGCAACTTTACCTGACCAGTCAAATTCCAAAAACTCGACCATGGTCACGCCGGATTAAGGAACGCACCGTCTATCGCTAACAGTGCGTGTGTGATATTAGGAAAAGTTTTTGCAAGCCTTCGAACTTGTACAACAATTTTTAATTTTGAATAAGTAACTGACATGGAGGACCTTAAAAGTTAGAGGATACAAAATATTAAAATAAAAAAATAACTTATGTAGTAAAATAAAATGTAATAAAATACAAATAATAAAGTTCTAACTTTTAACATACTTTATTAACTAACACTTCATAGATACAACAATATATAGTTCGGTATAATTTGTTTATATAGGTAGATACCTAGTCTCTAACGCACATTAATTTTAATATTGACAATCAGATCAAAATATTCAGAATACTGTATAACATTCACAACATCGATATCTGTAATTGTCTGTTCACTCCCAATTCTTTATCTAAACTAATATCATAGATTTAACATATGGTCATCCTTTTCCTTTTCAATAGTCTAGTTTGGGAGTTTTGGGGAGTGCACCCAGAGTTAAATTCGTTGCTACCAAGACTATATTATGTACTCACAGTGTGTACTCAGGATATGTACTATGAGCAGTCTTCCTTTTTTAGACCATGGTGTGCACATGATTATTATTATAAAAAGGACAACGGTATTTGTGTCAAAGTATCCTACGGCCGGGTTTAATTACGCCACGTACACTTTTGCAGCAAATACCTGTTACAAATATATGTAGTGCAATACTCCTCTTAAAATCTTGACTGAATTTCAATGACCTGTACATTGACACATTTTAAAACCGAAATTAGTTAAGGTTAAGAATTTGGAGTTACAGAATGACACGTTACTAATTGGATTGATAAGTTACTAAGGAATATTCTTTTTTTTGTTAGGGACTATGATACTACGTGGGGTAGACAAATGGCTAGTTAAGAACTACGTTATACATTTAGTTACTGTGTCTACTTAATAACAGTAATACGAAGCAGTTTTATTATATTATGTACTGTAGAAGTATTGATTGTATTTGATGTGTATTTAATTGGGAAAAAATACATTTGAAAATCAAGTTTATCAACGCCAAAAGAAAAATAAAAACTAATAACTAACTATACGGCTCAAAAACTGTTATGCTACCTATATATGTGCGAAACTCTAATAGCATGTCGTATTTCAAATTTTATGTAGGCGGTGCAAGGCTTTTGGCAATACTCGAAATCTTTCTATATTTTTACCCTAAAAACAGTACATTTTTCAAAATTTTCAAATACAAAATATTCTTTCAAAATGTCAACTACGTGACCAATTCAAAAAATAAAACATGATCTGGGTATAAAAAAAGTAAACGTTTCTGGTACCAATTTAGTAGGGCAAGCTCGACAGGGCGCGACAAGCGCGAGATCTATATGCGAGAATAGCAATATCTCGCGCTTCATGTCGCTCTCACGCAAGTTCCGTCCTATCATGCTAACCTACCGTTGTGCTAGTTCCTACAGGAAATGGGTAATTTTCAGGTTAGTTTTCTCTATCAAAATTTAATACTAATATCATGACTAATATCAGTACCTACTACTCAATAATCGAGTATAGTACCATGAAATATTATTTAATATTTGACGACAATATATTTGAGTAGGTATAGTATCCTGAAATATTATTTAATATTTGACGATAATATACTCGAATACTTAAATAATAAAATATGCCACCGAAATTAGGTAGACAAAACTTACCTGAAAATTACCCAGATATTTTTTATCTAACTACCTTATCAATCGTATTAGGAACAACAGCTAATATTGAACATCGAGAGTAATTTAATGATACTGTCGACCCCACGTCCGGATATGGTTCAGATTACTCGGAGCATCGCTATTGACTGAAAATTATGTAAGTATAATATGTAAGCAAATAAAATGGAGACTCATATTGTCCCTCACAACATTGACGAACGTAAGTTTTCACGAATGAGTTATATACATGGAAATCTAAATCGAACAATGCAAATACCCTTTTTCCGATAAAATTGAAACTTACATCATTCAATACAATATAAGAACATAATATTATAGTCAATTACATTATGAAAACATGTTCACAGCCATAATTACTGTAATAAAAAAAAATTATAATGTAATGAAATCGGAACACCGAGAACAGAGAGTCGTCCAGCCGAGATTAAGAGCCGATAATATCAGTATAGATATTATCTAAGTAAAATAAAGTGTAATGTTTCCAAAAAAGTTGCGTCAAAAAACATGATAAAGTACACAAAAAGAAGTAATTACTGACATCCGAACGGTCTAGTGGTCTGCTTACACATTACCTCCTGTTATATAATAGTATACAACCTTTTATCTCAACGTTCAAAATGCTTAATATTTTAAGGTATTCTGGACTTGAAAAAACCAACCATTGGTGCATGATATTGAGCATGGTCCTATGGATTGATCACTTAGGATACGATGAAATTTTTATTACATTGATGACAAACACCATGCCACTATTTCAAGGTCTAAAATTAAATTTTCAGTTAGTAACGTAACCCAACTCAAAGGAAGAAAAGAAATAATATTAAAAAAGGAAAAAATACATGTTTAAATAATTATGTTTAAACTCACAAGTCATAAAATTGGACAGCTAAAAGCTAAAGCTAGTGAAATTTTAATGATATGACATTGTTTGCTTAAAGAGATAAAATTCATTTGGTGAAATATGTAATAGTTTGAATATCACAATATTAATTTCTAGCTCAATTTAGTTCAAATTTTGCAGTCAACCCAATTCTGTTAATTTATTTTGATTTCACGGCAAAAAGTTATTATAGTTCGATTCAGAATTGCATGTTCTATGTTGTTATGTAAAAAGAAGTTAAGTCAATTACTTTTGTAAGGGAGATGTCCAGTATAGGCGATAAAAATCGCCCTTGAGTGTTACTTGAAAATTTACTGCGATGCTCCGAACAGTTTGAAAATTTTACGCACCATAGACCATACATACATACAGTTACACATAACCCATTGTTTAAGTAATTGGATTATGTACTCCAATTACTTCAGAATTAACTACAAATTGTATGCCATTTAGGCACAGCGCCGTGCATTAAATACATATTTACTTAGCGGAATTAAAATTAAATTGTCATTGAAAGTGTCCATTAAAACGATATTTTTCAAAAAGTCCACAGTCCACGTTGCCAAATGTTTAACGAAAATGTAAAAATTAATTATAAAATCCGAACAAATGTTACAACATACATTTACAGACCCACTTCCATTTGTTTTTATTAACTCGTAATTAGCTTGGAACTTTAACTTGATTACTTGATAAATTAGAAGTAAAGTTTTACAGAAAAATTAACGTTTTTTTTATGTTTTACGTAAAACTTTGTTTACACCAATCAGTTGGTCTCACCAAAAGGGTTTCAGGAAATAATAAGATGCTAGTTCTTACAAAGAATCAGAAAGTACCGGGAAATATGTGGGGAAAAAGGTGAAAATTATTTTATGTCAAATTATGTCTTTTAAATTAATTTGTCATCTCATATTTTTTCTCCATAATAAGATTAAGTACGTAATAAAAGTGTAATAAGATTCCCACATTTTCATAGTCAAATATTTCCTAGCAAATTTCAAATTATCATAACATATACAAGAGGACGGTTATTATATGTCTACAAGCTTGTATATTGGGGTACTTTAATTATACACGACCATTAGAATATTACATAATTTTGATTTAACAACATCAGTAAACAAATGAAAAATAAATGGAACACAGGTTTGGAAACCTTATGGAACCAATTATATTCTTACACAGTATCCATTATGTACATTTCTTAAAAATATTTTTTAATTTCTTTTTAATAATCAAACACTTTAATACAACTTTTGCAGTCAACAATTACATTGAATCAGTAATTGTTTTATAAAATGAAGCTAACATAATTATCGAGCTAAAAATTTATATGTAAAGAATTAGGCCACATATTCATTGTTGATCTTAAACAAAAATGTAATAATTGTTAATTTGTTACCGCACCATAATAATTTTAATATAATGTTTCTATACCACACAGGTCACGGGCAATTTTCCATAATTACAGCTAGATAAACAAAAGATGAGGTAAATTGAAATTAGGTTATTCTGCAAATGTACATGCAATTAATTCACATATTCAGTACAGTATAATTAAATGTATTAGCTGTATGGGACCAGTATAAGTATAAAATATATGGGAAATGTAGTTTATGGTATCAGTTGTTGCTTAAATTGGGCACAAAGCTGCCAACTATCCAGCCACTTAAAACTGCGTCAAAATCTGTTTTAGATTATGTAAATCCTTACTTCATAATTTGCAGCATGGACTTTCAAAATGATGTCCGGAAAACACTACCATAACCTTGATAAATAATGGTTAACATTGCCAGACTCATAATAGGCTATAACCCAACACTATTTAATAACAAACCATAATAAATACAAAATTACAACTAACTTACAAATCTCATAAAATTAAATACAAATAAAAAATACTCTATTTTCTTTGTCCTTAAGTTCCTCATTGAATGTTTTAATGTCCCAGTCGAGAAGAAAAGCGTTACCTCCAATAAATCATTAATATTTTTTCTAAATCATAGCCTGCTGTACAATGAGCAACAGATTTATATGAGCAAATTGGAATAAAAAATGAAATAGCAAATTAATTTTTGTAAGTATAATTGAATTAGTCACTCATTGTACAATTCGACGTAGTGGAAATTGTTGAATACTGTACATAAGATTGAGAATACTGCTATTCAAGTAAAAGTAAACTCAATCTAACTTTAGGTTTTAAATCATTTACGAATATTATGAACAGTACAGTAACAGCTTGATTGCTTAGAAGTTACAGCAGCTATTAGTTTTACGAGCAGTCTTGAAAAACGCTTTGCTGTGCAATGACAGACTGTCAGATTTGGCAACAAGTTCATCCAATTTCTCGCCTCGCTCTAGTACAGCTGTAATGGTTCCATGCAATATAATTTTGGTTTCATCTAAGTCATTCTGGATCTTTGTTAAAGCATCTGCCTCTCTAGGATTTTGGTATCTTGCTAGATACTCAGGTAAGACTGGAAAATCAATATTAGTCTCATTTCCTGTAGGCCAAGTATTAGCGGGAACCTTGACAGAGAAATCATCAAGGATCTTTGTGATAAGTGTGTGCGCCACCCGATTAGGGTATTCATGGTCAGAAATTAGTACTCCAGCCAAGTTATCAGCCCTGACATACACTTGTAACATATACTCTCCTTCTTTCACCGACTGTCGTGCGGCTGGCGATGTCCTCTCTACCATAGTCTTACTGACAAATGTCATAAACTCCTGCACAGAACCTCGCTGGAAGAAACTGAAGCTCTGAAGATCGTACGATGCCTTGAGAATAGTTGCATTGTTCACTCCTTTATAGAGCACCAATAGAGCATACAGCTTCACCATCCTGAAGAATAAACTTCAGTACTTTTACTGGTAAAAAGTGCGTTGATATTCTGTAAGCAAAAACCTTCGATAAACAATGAAATTTCAATTGTCACACCAATATGGGAAGCCTACGCGTTGCAATATATTACTTGTAAGGTTACTACAATACAATGCCCGTGATTATCGTAAAAATTCACACCGTAATGTTGTAAAATAGTAAGAAACTTGAAATTTATCACTTTACCTATATACTTCCTAGTATGGTAAACTATTCTGTAAGACACATAGCACCCAGCATACGTTACAGGTTGTAGAAACTATAATCGACGTAAATATTAACTTTAATATTTTCCGAAAAACCTAATAACGATCCGTATTTTCTTGATTTGGTGCTGCTGCTTACAAACCACTGCTGCTAGTCCTGCTTACGCACTCATCACAAACGTCACATAAATGTCAATTTATGAACGAATGAGTTAATTATTTGGGTGAACTAGGAACTGCGCGACAATAAAAATACGCATGCTTTTTTTATTTTATTTATTAAGGCTTTGGCAAAGCTATCAGCCTAAACATAATGTTTAATTATGTTTCTGTAAATATGGCCGCCCCAAAGAGGATAGGCAATTTGAGGCGGCGGCGCGCGGCGTGCTTGGATTGACTCGGGATTCCTTAAAACGAGCCGATACGGGTATTCTAGTTCGAGATTCGTATAATTTCGCGTTTTAATCTTCGATTAAGGCACAATAGCACTATCCTATTTCACTTTAAACTAGATTTCACAAAATAATAGACTTCTTACCCAAAACTTTAAATAAATATGATCTAATACTTTAACATTTAAAAGTGAAAATTTTTAATATAAATTAAAAATAATAAATTAAGAAAATAAGACTAAATAAACTAAGAAACAGCTGACTTTATGTAAAAATATATGAAATTGTGAAACTAGTAGTAAGTAACTATACTAATTTTTTAGGTCGCATAAGACGATTAATGTCATATCAACATAATATTAGAATTATTATTTGACGGCAAATCGGACTTCGGACTTATATACCGGACATCGTGAAAATAACATCAAGTTACATTATTTTATCACATTTTTAAAAAGTCAGTTCACTCACACCATAGCTCTATAATAATAATTATCTTTGCTTGTACCATAACAAAAAAGATTACTATAGGCACCCACTAGGCACCATAGTTTGTTTATGAACGCGTTTGATGAGCCCTAAGGATGAGCCGTATTGGTCTATAGTTTATTTAGTTTCTATGAAAAGTGTTTCCTCGTCATGTCTGAAGCCGCAGAAAAGGTAGAAAGCGCCTCTGACGCCAGGCGAAGAATATTAAACATCGCTGTCTCCACGGTTCTGTTGGAAACGGGTTTTGACTCTGCAGACAAAGTGGCTCTAGAAACTCTTACTGAAATTCTACAATGTTGTGAGTATTGTGTAATTAATTTAATAGTTTTTATTTTATTTTATTAATTAATAACATCCCCTTAGAGGACTCCCGGCACTTCATTTTCCACAGCTGCAATATCGTAATGTCATCATCCAACAAATGAAACAAACAGCCTATCTTACATGATTTTTGAGTTCTATGTTAATTCAGAACCTAAACAAAAATCAATCAAAATTATTATATTTTTTTATTATTATACACATCTCATTGAAAGGAAAAATTAAATATATTACAGATATATATGCTGTTTTTCCAACAAAATCGGTGTGTAACTGCCTTAGGAGTTCCTTTTGCAAGCAGGCAATATCTTTAGCAAATCAGTAGCTGCCACCCACAGCTTGCCTGTTCTTGTTGATCAATGATGTTTAAAGGCTAGATTATATTTTTATTTAAAAAAAAGGTTTTCAATACGGATGTGGCTAGTTAGAATCTTCAGCTGCAGACTATATATACTGTTTTGGGGTTGGAAAGACTTAAATTTTGCTGATTGAGTATATAACAGCAATATTAAAATAAAGTAACATTTTACATCACTTAATAAAACAAGGTTTTTTATGACAACAACATAAATAACAGATAATTGCAATTTGTTCATTGATGCTAAAAGCAGATACATAAACAATTGAGTCCTAGCTCCTAAATTAGGCAAACCTGTAATCCTGGGAGACCCGCTGCAAAATAGGTGGCTAGACATTAAGTTGGGAACACCAGACTGTTACACCATACCATCTTAGGAGAGGATACTTATTTAGTAGTAGTAGAGGTCCTTGTGAAAGAGTTCGCCCAAGAAAATTCTGCCACCTTACCTATTTCAGCCGCCAAGCAGTAATGTCAGCATTACTGGTAAGGGTAAGGGTGCCAGTGAAATTACAGGCAAATGGGACTCAACTTCTGTCTCAGGGTGACGGGAGCAGCTGCAATGCCCCTCAGATCTTTGTGATTTAAAGCTGTGAGTGGCACTGCAACTGTTATGGACAGGTGTGAAGCTTACAATCAGGCGCATGACTTGTCATCCTGTCATTTGATATTATATGTATGTAAAAAAAAACCTTCCCACATCTTGTTACATACAAACAATATGGGATATGATTACAATGACGTACCTTTGGTATTACTATTATTTGCGGAAATGAACAAGCACAATCCGGGTAAGACAAAATCCATACCTGAGAAGCATTACACTGTAAGTGCTATTTTTGTAATTTTCCAGGGGATGCGATTTTGTGTCGAAATGCAGCATATACAACATTTAAAATGGCTTGAAATAAAACTAATTGAGTTTGGCTAACATTTAGAGTTACCCTAATTGTGGTACAAACTGCTTTTCAACACAAAATCCCTTCCCCCGTAAAATTACAAAAATAGCGCTTACAGTGTAATGATTCTCAGGTACGGAAATAAATGCTGATGCCTTGGTAACCAGCTAGTGTGAAACTTGGTATGTCCCTTTATTATGACAATTGAGGTGCATGGAAACAAAGACCACTAAATCGCATTTTGATATTTTCGCTTTTTTAATGCAAAAGTGGTAGTTTTTGTGCATTTGTAAGAGTAATTTATCCAACTTGAACAGCAACTGCGAAATCCACCTTCAAAATACATTCCAATACAATCTGAACACTATGCAACTAATCCTATCCTAATCCATTCTTTAAGACTAGACCAAATTAGAATCAAAATTTGTCACTTTTTGTTCCAAAGCTCCTCATGATAATTAACTCACAGACCTTAACTGAGTTAGAAATGTTTGTTTTCTAAAACAATTCAGGTTGTTTTTGGGAAAAACTATCCTATTGAAACTACATTATCGATATCACATTTTATCTACTTGCTTACAGCTGTTGAGTTAAGTGTTTGCACAGGTCAATGTCGCAGTATGTTAGGATTTATGTTGTTCTCATTTTTACTCAGCAATAACACACACGAGCAGCAACAGCAATACCAAAATTGATATTGTTGTTGCTGGGTGAGTGAGATTGCATGGTGAGAACTGAATATTCTTATTTATTTGATTATAAACAAACATTTGCATTTGCTGGTACGTCTACATAACGCAGTGTTGAAATTTATGTCGTTTATTTTAGATTCAGTTCACTTTTTTAGCACTAAGAATACATTCCTTAATTTTTTTAAATTTGTGTGTATCAACACAACTTGTGTAGTGTCATAATAAAACATGTGAGTTAATAATATTATGGTACATGATTTTGCTTTGATATCAGCAAGTTACTTTATTTGTTTTTTAAACTATATTTAATAACCATGTTGCAACACAAATGGTGTTACTTAAGGGTGATGAAAGCATGTTTTACATAGACTTTGACATATATTATACATATATAATATAAGAAATTATTCTTACATACAGTGACAACTCGCTAGCTTGTCGACCATCTATCCACTATTGCAGGTGGCATCAAGGCACCTTGCCATTAGTAATATTTGTATATATTTCACTTCATAATAGAAATAGACGATATTATATAAAATACATTGGCAAATAATATCGTATATTCTATTATATTATATCAAGTCAGACCCAAACTTTCATACATAAATATTATAGATAATGAGTTGTCATGTTACCTAAATTAGAGTAAGATATTGAAAGGGTACTGTAGCAATCTAAAGCACTTAAAATATAAAACACATAACAAAAAGTTATTAAACATTCACAGAATAATTGCAGCCCCAAGTACCGAGCTCTGGCTAGCATGGTGAAGTAACTTTATCAATTTCTATCTCACCACCAATCTAAATTAGAAATCAAATACTAAAACAGAGCAGAGTATAGACTACTGTTAAGAGTATAGTGTACTGTGAAGACCCATTGAAGTTTTAAATGGTTTACAAAATAATTCGTACATATAATGCCCTAAATCATATAAGATTCTTCCAATTGCCAACAAAGTTTAGTCTCCACTAAAGAGAGAATTTATCATTTTCATGTAATGCAAAATGCCACCACAAAATGTAACCAACACAATAAAAGCTCTCGCTCATTTATCTTCCACGATGACGTCAATCATTTATCTATGTCGTCATATACAATATATAACAAAGTATACAGACACTAGAAGACTGTATTCTAAATTCAACCTTACCGATTATTACTGCTTTACACTCCGCCCGTCGTAACGACCAAAAGACGAGTTAGGAAAAGAGATACTGCGTATACTTCTAGATAACACACGTGTCCCTGTGCTATTGAAATGCGTGGGTTGCACCTCATCGACTCAGTCTACTTGTGTAGCAATAGTATATATTTGTGTAATGCAAATAGTAGTGCCACTCTGTCCTTTTCCTCCTCGTAAATCACTACATGAAAACCTGCTATCTGACAGGTAGTAATCAACTTCATATTAAGGGTCGTAAAGTTCAGTTTCTCTAGAGAACGCGCTTGTCAGTTATACCTGTTGCATTCAATCTCGTCCCACTGACACGATTCTCACATTTCGGTATACATGAAAATAGTTCGCAGGACATCCCCGTCCAACAAAATCAATACTGCATTAATTTGTACGTCAATAAACACTTAAGACTCATCGGCGTAATAAGTTGACGCGCAGCTCACGCTTGTATAATTAAGAGCTATGGGTTTTTTCAGTAGCCATCTTACACCGAAAGTTTCATCGCAATGTTCTCATTAAAACTATTAAATAACCATATTGCTTTATTTTTATCTACTTTATAGTACATATCATTTTCCCCAAGTCTACGTCTTATGTGCATAATATGAATGTGTAAAATTTACTTATAATGTAACGTAAGCTCTTATCATCTACTCAAAATGTTTTATGAACAGTAGCTTTATGTATCTGTATTACAAATAAGTATTTGAAAAGCTTTACTTATATATTTTGTCTAAACCTAAACTGTCCACCTAGACTATTAAAAATTGACTATATAAACGTCCGTAATCCCCCGTGTAATCATGACATGCCACTGCCGTTTTGAAGGTATGAAATAATGTAACTGTTAATAATTTCAGTTTTTACGGAAGTCGGCAATGCTGCCAAAGGCTACTGCGAACTTTCGGGCAGAGTAGAACCCGTCCTGGGAGATGTTATTATGTCTTTTGTTAATATGGGTAAGTAAGTGGGCATGTAAAACACCGTTACAACTGTTAAAAACTCATCTTAACATTCCATAGAACTGTATACGAATAAATTGTCTAATTTATTCGTATACAGTTCAATGGAACTCTACGTATGGAGAGTGAAGAAAGACTAAAAAACACTAATACAAACATAATATTACGACTTTACGTATCTAGTCTTTGTTCTGCTCTCTTAGTGTTTTGCGTCACAATGAATAAATCCTTAAATAGAGATGTAACGTGTTTTATAAACTGTATATTTCTAGCAGAATTTAAAATGCCACCCCGATTGTCGAATGAATCTTCCACTCCAATAAATGTTTTGTACTCCCAAAACATTTTTTTTAGTAAAGTGTTTACCGCTCCATTACCGCTGACTTAGTGTAAGCGACAAAAACTAATTTTACAGAAGAAGGCTTTTTCAATATTTCTACATATAAAAGTGATAGTAAATTGAATTTTAATATATCGCACCTCTCATGGAGAATGGCATAAGTGAAATTACGTCAAAAAGGTTTATTCCTTCATTTGAAACAGAAAAATACAACCCACATCCTGTCCAATTCTTGTAACTCAGTCGATTAATATTGAAATGAAATGAAATGAAATGAAATTTGCTTAAAACATGGTGTGAAAGATGGAACAATTATTACAGAATACATGTTTTACCTGACTAGGCATGCAAAATGTTGCTTAAATTTAGTTTAATTATAGCATTGTCATTGGACGTGTACAAGGAATAATAATAATAATAATCAATTAATTAATTAATAACAACAGAATATTAAACTATCAATGTCAAATTATTAAACGTCATACATCATGATTACATTAAACATAAATATACCTTATAATTTCATGTCGACATCCAACAAGAAACAAAGAATAATCAGTCAATTAAAAACACCAAAATAATAACCTTCTATGTCAAACTATAAAATATTTGTACATCATTATTACATTGTACATGTATATACATTAAGCACTAATTTCATGTCAACATTTATCTAAAAAATCAGTCACTTTGTAATCATTTTTGTCACTAAGCCATTCGCTAAGTCTGTTTCTGAACAAATTATTTGGTAACGTTTGAATGTCTTTTGGTAGAGCATTATAAATTCGAACACACATACCGTTACATTGATTTTTTGTAATAACACAATTGCTGATAGAGTTACCAGAATTGGAGAATACGTGGATTATATTTTTCTGTATCCAACGGAGCAATAAACATTTCTGATGTAACTTCACTTATGCCATTCTTCCATGAGAGGTGCAATATAATAATGAATTTCGAAACCTATTGTATAACAGCAAATTTTTTGTCGTGTAAACATGCGATCAATCGAATGACCATGAACAGATGGGTTGCGTGATTAGTTAGTAGTGTGGAGAGTCAACTTCCCAGCAGGAGATCCTCGAAATGTAGATGTATTTTCAAATTAATTGATCCAGTTCTAGGATTCTGCGCCTCTTAAGACGTCTCATTGAGTCAGGGATAGTCAGTAGCCCTGCCAGCAGGTTAGGGTGGTGATGCAGTCGCTTTTTGTACTTGGTAGCGTAAGATCGAACTTCTTCCTTTACTGTGTTGATTTTTAGGTAGTGATGGACTTCCGAGTTTCTAGTCAACCAAGGTGTATTAGAAACCTGCTTAAAGATGGAATCTACGCCTCTTTGTATTAGTGCGATATTTGAATTACATGCGGCACCCCAAAGCTGGATGCCGTAAGTCGATATTGGTTTAAGGACAGTCTTATATATAAGCAGCACCACAGACATATCTAGATATATGTCTGTGGGCAGCACTCTATTCCTTTTATGCAGCCAGTGTAGTCTGCGAAATCGGATGTTGAGTTCGTCTCTTTTCGCTCGGATGATTCCTTCAGGCCCATCTGACATTTTTTTTTAAACTAGATGTTAAGCCTTTCTTGGCGCTTTCAATACTTTTGCTGTCTCTATCTAAAGATTTTTGATGTACTTATCATGTAAGGTACAGTGTCAAGAGCACGTCAAGCTTCACACTAAAGGTTTAAATTTAACGCTATGCCACCTGCAATAAGAACGGTCTAAACTCCAAAGTGTCAAGCTTGATGTGCTCTTGACTGTACCACTTGCGATTAAAAATATGCAACGGGATACCAACACATTTTTTGGCACTTTGTTTATAGTAAACGACGAAATTGTGTCCCACTGCTGGGTACTGGTCTTCTCTCAGGCGAGGATTTAGGTCATAGTCCGCCACTCTGGCCCAGTGAATTCTATATTTCTAGTTTAACTACTACATGCTTATTGGCGAGTGGATGGCGTATTAGGATGTGCGGTACAATGGAAACATGTTGGCAAATCAAGCGCGTTTAATTTGAAGTCGGTAAAAATACTATGTATCGAAAATGAGTCGAACTAGACCTGCGTAGAAGAAGCAACTGCCAAAATTTTGAATACAAAGACAGGCGAAAAGTAATATAATATTATATAAAACAGAAGAGTATTAAAAAACCGACCTCAAAAGTCATTCATCCCCTAATTTGCCTCCCTTAGACGTAGAACATTTTCTTCAAATTTAAATGGGTCCACATCGAAGGTTTTTTCCAACAAAAAAATAATCATCAAAATCGATTCACAAATGCACGGAGTTATCGCGTAACATACATACAAAAAAATACAGTCGAATTGAGAACCTCCTCCTTTTTTTAAAGTCGGTTAAAAAGGAATGTTAAAAAAAACTATAATTACAAAGAAGGCAGCGTCACAGCTGGTCGCCAACAATCCTATTTTACCACTTTTATTCTGGAGACCGAATAATATACATGTATTAACAAACCAATGTTATTCTACTCGTCCATCCTTTTTAATAACATGAGTTGGCAACCCTGTCATGATCAAAGCAAATTCTCTCAATCTACTAAACTCTCTATGTTTGTTTGTTAACTTTACATCTATACAGGTATCAGCATCCAAGGCCTTGAGCAATACGCAGCTCGCCCCAACCGGCATGTGATTCAGCCGCCGCAGCAGGCACCTGCACCGCGCACGCCTGCCATGTTATCAGCCGGATCTAAAGCAAAACCTGCACCACATATTCCGTTCCATCTGCCGCCGTTACCCGACCCACATGCTTATATTCGGACACCCGTAAGTTTTGTAGTTACCTACGTTACGAGAACTAGCGACGGAGTCTCCTCTAGAGAGGGTCATAATAGACTAACCAACAAGTTTTTATTACGAATAACCATTGTAGCTTGGAAACTTGCAGATTAATTTACACTGACCTCCTTATCATAACTAACGTAATCGTAATGTTTAGCAAAATTGAGTTAACATATCTGGAATCAGTGAACCGAGATCTACAACCCCCCTATAAACTGTTTGTTTCGGTTTTATGATTAAGTAAAATCAGGGTAATTGCCATTTTTCAAAAAAATGCCAGAACAGTAATACCCCGCTTTACGCGAGGGATGCGTTCCGGACAAAATCCCGTTAAGCAAAATTCGCGTGAAACGAGTGGTTCTTTTTATGTGTGACCCGCCTGGTGTTATATATTTTTGGTCGCCCTAGGGTCTCTAACTTGACTTAACGACTGCTACCATATTAAAATATTGTAACGCGCGTGCTTTATTTGTGTGCATATTATAAAACTTTAGGAATCTATTTCATAAAATTAATGAGACTTTAGTTAAGTATTTTACTTTTCTGCGCACACATACACATACAATTTGTTTGCGTTCTTGTGAAAGCTTTTCATAACAAACTCCTCCATTTTGTATTGATGTGCGGAGAAACAAAACATAATCGACATCGCTGTCTAGGTTTTCTAGGATTTAAAGACCTGAATAAATCTTAGACAACGCTTCCTGAATTGCACTTGACGGTAATACATTCTGAACTTTCACTTCCTGGTCACTTCAGTTTCTTGTTGTTCATCAAATTAATGCATCCGTGTAAAGCGGGGTAATTTAACGCGAATTTTTAAAATAGCGTTACGTTATAACGAAATCCCGCTATGCGGGTAGTTTAGTTATGACTACTAAAGCAAAGGAAATAACAATAAAGAAATAAACCTTAGATTAATTAATCCGGATTTAAAATCGCGTATTATAAATATATGCGATTTTTAATTCAGAAATAATTGTTTCATTTCACTTCTGTACCCATTAATTACAGGCATACATCAGACAAGTATGGTAATGGTAACTCCAAACAAACATGGCAGCGCGACTTGCAGGGCCATTAGTACAGACGCACACATTCGCATAGTAAAGAAAAAAAATAATTAAATTGTCAATTAATAGACAATAAAATAGTCTATATATCATTGCAATTGAAATGTTAAAGGAATTTTAATATCAACCACCGGAAGAAATAAATGCCCAAAGTCCACTCAGGTGGACATAGGTGAACCACGGGAAGAATAATAGTCCGTGGTCCACCCAGGTGAACCAAACAGGTGGTTCACAGAAGAAGCGAACGCGAGTGCATCGCGAAATTACGCAAATGTGTGTGTCCATACACGGCACACGGCAGGCGCGCACACATACAACCGCGCGGCTACGTTTGTATGGAGTTTGCATGTTTATCTTATACTATGTTGCAGACCCACAAGCAACCAGTGACAGAGTACGAAGCAATCAGAGAGAAAGCTGCTAGTCAGAAACGAGACATCGAGAAAGCGCTCACCAAGTTTCTTGCGAAGACTAGCGAAACGCACAATTTATTCAATACAGATGACAACCAAGTGTATCCTTGTAAGTATTGTAACACTTTGACTAATATGTTCCTTGCTATTAAAGTTTCAAAACCCATTATTATGTTATACTGCCCATTAACATATAAAGAACTTTTATTTTGCAAGACTCACAAATTCATAATAGTTCTGTATTAGAAGTTTTTTATCAAAATTATCTAAAGTAGTAGAAGAAATAATTTATTGATGTAGCTCTTATTAATTGAAATATTCTTTATTCCTTTGTTTTATTTTCAGTAATTGCATGCAAGCCTACATTCCCAGCATATCTCACGTGTCTACTGCCAACAGACCAAGTGTTCGATTTTGACGAGCTCGAGTATCACTTCCAAGTAGCTAATAGGACGGAAGATATGCCTCCTGATAAAAAAGGTATTTTTATTTGGTAGTTTCAAAAATCCCATCATAAATACTGGTATGGACGAGGATGAACGGATGTTAACTAAAAACCTTACCAAAATAGTAGCAAACAGAAATCCTTAGCCCTAACTATGTATGTAACCAATTTTATTAATTACAGATAATTCCGACAATGAAGGCGATAACGGCAATGACGACACCGCAAATTCCCAAACTGACACACAAGATTCACAAGCACCACCAAGTCCAAAGACTTGAGAACAATTTTTTTTTAGATTAAGTTATTTATACGTATGAATGTACCTAAAATAATTACTTCTGAATAAAGATAATTTTAAGACTATTTTTGATGCGTTCCCTCCTTCCATAATGCAAAAATAACATTGATATTAATCTAGGTGGGTGAAGTCATCAAGAATTTAAAAGGGAGAATTTTGGTGTCAATGGGTTAGGTTATTACTCTGAGATGAAATCGAAGTCCCATAATCTCAGTACAGAGTACTAAAAAAACCGACCGCGAAACCGGATACATTTCGTAGTTTGCCACCCTTAGAAGTGGAATATTGCGCCACTATTGAGGTACCCTCTTTCTAACAAAAAAGAATCGTCAAAATCTGTTCGCAAATGGGTTACCACGTAACATACTAAAAACAATCTAATTGATAACCTCTTTCTTTTTTATTATATTCGGTTAAAAACATTTTTTTCCATCCTTTACGAAAAATGTGAACAAGTGCTGCCATTACAAAAAAAGATTTTAAGAATAGTGGAAAAGATCTAAAAATTAATGCAAGATGTTTTTTAATGTTCTTAAATTGTGTGTGTGTACTACAAACAAGTATTATCAAATCATAATTTTGTTTGCAACACCCTACACCCTATTTGATAAGCTCAAAAAACTTAATCCAGTGGAACGATTTTATATCCTATTGACAATGTTTTTGGAGGTGCACAACCTTTGGTTGCTCTTTTTATTTATTCGATTTTTATTAGGTATTCAAACATAAATACCCATAAACATAGTTTCCGGAACTGGCCACATACATAACAATATTTTAAAAGAAGTTACATTTGATAATGGAACTCTTTGGCTGTAGAATAGTTTGTTTCATCTGACTGTCACTTGTTTTTACATTGTGGTGTCATTTTAGAAATTGGTTGTCTACATCACCATGGATTTAACTCGTGAAAATTATCGTAGTGTAGTCTAGGTTCTATTCTATTAGTAGAACTATGACTGAGTGAATATAGTTTTGTATTTAGAATGTGTTTAAAAAAACAGGATAGAGAAAAGAACATCTTGGCAGATCTAGAAATAGCTTCCGTAAGTGAACATGTAAAAAAGTACAATAAATATCAAGTTTTGCAGATTATCCCAGTTTATGTTTATAAAGTACCTCTCGCTACGCAACCTAAGCTACGCCCCAGGTTACAAATGGTGAGTTCGCCTTACAAGTGGTATACAAAATGGAAACATTCCAATGAAGAAAACTCCGTTGGAATTTTTTTTTATGTTTTTACGGAAAACCTCCAGGAAAGCGTACATAAGGTCGTAATATATATTTTTACTTTTTATTAGAAAATTGTTATTGTGTTTTTGTGCGCTTCGTAGTGAATAGGGGCAAAGTAAAAAAAGCTATACAATGAATCATACACCGGCACAGAAATTTTCGGGCCTAAATGATGTGGAGGAGTTTCTGGGCCAGTTTGAGGCAATTAACGTGATAAATAACTGGTCGGATGGGCAAAAAAGATATATAATTGCGACGTATCTGGAAGGGTCCGCCTTGCAGTGATATAAAACCCATTTTTCTTCATATGCCACCTATAATATCATTGCGCAAAAGTTAAAAGAGCAGTTGCCCTCACAGGTTGATTATGCTCAAGTGTTTTACTACAGGCGGCAGATGCCTAATGAGCCGCTCGTAAACTATTTTTATAATCTGGATAGTTTGGCGACAAAAGCAAAGATACAGGACGATGTGAAATTTATAAAACATTTCCTAAAATCTTTAGCTCCCAGCTATCAGTGGGTGCTTGCTAACAAGTTGCCCGCGTCTAAAGACGAGTTGAGAAAAACGATTAAACAGATGGTAGATGTATTTAATCGACGAATTAGGGTGTTATAATCACTCATTAATTGAAATCAATACTTTTGATGAGGAACCGGTGCATAAATGCCATATCGTGTCTCCCCTAAACAGAGACAAATTATTGAGGAACAAGTAGAAGAAATGTTGAAGTATGGGATAATTCAGGAACCGAAAAGTCCATATGCTTCACCGGTAGTTTTGGTGGATAAACCGGAAGGGCCGCTTAGATTTTGTATTGATTATAGGGCTTTGAATAAAAAAATTAAAAACGATCCATACCCTATTCCGAGAGTAGATGATTTGTTAAGTTATTTACAGGGTGCAAAGTATTTTGCAGATTTAGATATGAACTCTGGGTATTGGCAGTTAGGTTTAGGAAAAGGGAAGGAAAAAACTGCCTTTGTTACACATACCGGGCTATATGAGTGCAATGTGTTACCTTTTGGCTTGAAAACAAGTCAAGCGGTGTTTCAAAGGGTGATGGATTAGGTATTGGCGGGAATGAAGTATCGTAATGTGATAGTTTATGTGGATAATATATTGGTGTATGCAAGTACGTTTGAAGAATTTAAAAATGCATTAAAGTTGGTTTTGATTCCATTGCGAAATGTGCATTTGACTTTAAAACCATCTAAGTGTCGTTTCGGTTTTCAGAAGGTGACTATTCTGGGACATGAAGTGTAGGCCGAGGGAATTGGACCGGATAGTAAGAAAGTTGCGGCGATGAAGGAGATAAATCCTCCATGTAGTTTGAAAGAAGTGAGAGCGGTTTTAGGATTGTTCTCTTATTATCGAAAGTTTATTCACTTCCCATCACGAATTTGACAAAAAAGGACAAGGTGTTTGTTTGGACGAATGAAGCGCAGGAGGCATTTGAAGTGTTAAAAGATCGAATTTGTAAAGCGCCTGTTTTGGGACATTACTCGTCAAATAATGAACAGGTGACGCGGTTGTATGTGGACAGCAGTGTATAGGCAATTGGATATTGTTTAGTGCAGGGAATGAGAGAAATGAAACCTATAGCTTATGCCTCGTGAAAATTAAGTGAAGCAGAAAAGAAATATTCTGTCACGGAGAAGGAATGTTTAGCACTTATATGGGCGTTGAATTATTTTAAAAGTTATTTATGGGGACTTCGTTTTCAGATAGTTACAGATCATCGGGCACTTGTGTGGTTAAAAAGTAAGAGAAATATGAGTGGAAGATTAGCCAGATGGGCGTTATCGATTCAAGGTTGGGATTTCGACATTGTTTATTGTAAGGGTAAATATAATGTTGTTGCAGATTTCTTGAGTAGGAATCCGTTGCTGGAGGATATAGAGTCGAAATCCACTTTCGTGGATTCACTCATGATTTCGTGGAATCACGTTTCGTTTCGCGTGTACCAGAGCAGAGGGATGAGTTAAAATTGTATGTTTTGCGTGCGAATGATGTCCAGAGTAAACAGGAGGCGGATGGATTTTGTAGAAATATTATTAAATGCATTCGTTCGGGTGTTGGTGATAATTATCGAGGCTTCTTTTTGCAGAACGGAATCCCATATAAGAAGTGTCGTTTGAATCAAAATATAGTTGATTTAGTGGTCATTCCGTCTTAATTATTTTCGAAATGTATGAAGGAACTGCATGACAGTGCCTGGACGGGCGGACATTTTGGTTTGTTTAAAACTTTTTCAAGGTTTAGACAGAGGTATTTTATGGTAAATGCTGAAAGAAAGATTGAATCGTATGTCAAGAGTTGTCAATTGTGTCAGGAGCGTAATATAAATAAAACGATTGCACCATTAATTTCTATTCCCGTGAATGGTATTTTCGAGCGTGTGGGGATTGATATTTTAGGGCCGTTTAATCGTTCGGATAAAGGCATTGACTTACAAATAAATGGACGACGGGTAATACAAAAACCACGAAAATAATGTCCCAAGTCAAGCTAATTAAACGTAGTGTAAAGGAATATGAAAAAGCTAAAACGTTGAATTTAAATTATTTTACTTTTATTTTTATTACTGTCTTTTGCTTGCTTCGCTGTCAGTCGAACAAACGAAGATTAAAGCGTGAATGACGCTCTGTATACGATTTTAACGCCCTATAAGTTCGGACACTTTAGCGAGGACCCGACTTCCATATAATTGTAAGTCAATGGATAAAGGTAATAAATATATAATTGTGAGTATCGAATATTTGTCGAAGTATGTGGTGTGCAGGGCCGTAACCAGGGTGAAAGCGGAAACAATATGTGATTTTTTGGTCTCGGAGGTATTTTGTAGGTACGGCGGAGTAAAAGAAGTTTTAAGCGATAGAGGGTTGGTGTTTACTTCTCATTTGGTAGAGGAGACAGCGCGAGATTTTGGAGCGATTATGGTGCATACTACGGCATTCAATGCGAAGTGCAATGGTTTGTGTGAGAGATTTAATAGGACGCTGTTAGGAATGTTAGCGAAATATATAGGAGGCGAACAAAGGAATTGGTGTAGCATGTTACCATTGGTGTGTTTCGCATACAATTCTAGTAAACATTGCAGTACCGGGGTGTCACCATATATGGCTTTTTTCGGTAGAGAATCCTTATGTGCGTCAGATAGAGAATTGGGGATTAATTATGTCAATGTTGCGGAGAACTTGCAAGATAAAATTGCAAAACAAGCAGCGTTGATCGATGTGGTTAAGGAACGAATAGTGAGGGCGCAGATAAAACAGAAGCGAAATTATGATAAGAAAGCAAAAGTAGTTGTATATCAACCAGGGGACTTGGTGATGTTATATTGTCCTAGAAGAGTTTCCAACAGAAGTGTAAGATTAGCTAGATTGTTTAAAGGGCCGTATAGGGTGGTAGATCGGTTGAGTAGAGTTAATTATATCGTGAGAAAAGTAGGTGTAAATAGGAATAGATCGGGTAGGCTGGATCTAGTCCATGTGAATAGAATGAAAAGGTTCTATAGGAGGTATTTTATTATTTTTTAGTTTCTATTAGGTTAATTAATCTTTTATATTTGTTTTTCATATGGAACCATGATGACATTGTGATGAATATTTTGAGGGAAGTTGTTATTTTCCGGCAAATGCAGACTTAGAAGGACGGGAGAAGGTGGACTACCGTCTTGGATAGATATTACTTACTTTTTTTTATTTGTTGGGTATATTGTCCAGTGTGTGTGCATAGTTCGTGGTCACTCTCCCAGATGAACAAGAA